CGTTTTAGCGATGATTTCAATTAAATGAATATTTCTGAAATAAGTTTAGAATATTAAATCAAATTAAACTGAATGTAAGTGTTGGTTTATTCTTAATAAAATATTATGATTTTTATACTGAGTTTTTATTTTAGTAATTTTATGAATTTGTAATTTAAAGTCTAAGCTAACATCACTTTTAGACTTCACTAGTTCTAACTATTGTCTACATGATGCCCACTTAAAGCCCCTATGTTGAAATCAGGGCAATTGATCACTGGCTATCAAAGCCAATTTTGAATAATGTTACAAATATTCATAATTCCTTATAACTCATGGTTTCAGTTTGTGCATACTCTCAGGGATACCTGCATTGCTGACATGCCTCCATTAATTATTCATGCACTGCCTAATTTATTCATCGATGACCTTATCGAGGTTGGTTGGGAGAAGATGGTGGATTAGCCAATCTCAGGGGACACACATCTGTTCCACCCTTTTTTTTTTTTACGTGAAAACAAGGCAGAGAGAAAGCAACAAAGTGAGAGGAATGATGTTAGGGTTTGTCACTGATATAACATATTTATATTGTGTCACTAAGAGCTACCACATCAAACATCCTGAAAGTTAAGCAAAAAAAGGAGCTGGTGAGCAGTTATTAAAGTCTGAGGAAGTCAGATTGTGTTCCTTAATATTGTAAGTGATCTTCTTTAATATTTCATTTTGTTATGAAACAGAATAAAAGAAACTCTGTCAGAATGCCAGGGGAGTGTTGGCCTAGTGGTTAGAGCAGTGAGCTTGGGCTCTGAGAAGGTTGCAAGTACCCGGTTTGATCCCCACAGCCTGCACTTAACCCCACACTGCTCCCTGGGTGCCGCATAGTGGCAGCCCACTGCTCCCCAAGGGGATGGGATAAATGCACAGGTAGATCTCTCCAGTGTGAGATCAATGAAGTTAAATGTATTATTTCTCTAATTCCTAGCAATTATTATTTATATATCCTAGCAAAATTTTTAGATCATTATGTAACTCTTTACCTATTCCCAATCCAAAAGAATGATTGATCACTCTTGGGGTTTTCTATAGGGCCTTTTCTATAATTAATCAATATTATCTTTTTTTGTGCAGATTTAAGTTTGTTAGATGATTAAGCACCATTTGTCAATACAAATTGAAATTTCATTTAACACAAAATATAATGATATAGATTAGAGAGCATTGATTTTAAAGCATTCCTTACTTGTGGAATCAAACTCATTTAAAATGTGAAATATATCAAACAGTTCAGGAAACTATATCACCCTAACATTTTGACTTAAATTATTAACTGTTATATCATAATAATGTAAGTATGATTTAACTTCTCAACATGATCAACTGAGAGAAAATCCAACACCAATTACTGTATATCCATGTATCTAAAATCCTTACATTTCCACAATTTTTTATTCCCTCATTTTCCAGGGGGAATAAAAACCTTCCGCTTATATATTTGACATTGGTAATATAAACACAACAGCTGACATAATGACAGTACTGTGTGTCCTATTAGAGTAATAGCATCATTATCCTGCAAGCTAAATGATTAATTTCATTATCTAAAATATTTTCATTCTATCCTATAGTAATTATCAGAAATAATCAAACATATTCTTGCAGAGTGAAAAAAACTGGCAACAAGATGATGTTACTGACATATCAAAGCAATTGTAACCACTTAGAATTTTTTTTTATTTTATTTTTTATCCTGAGAAGAAAACAAAGGCTAAGATTGTAGATGAGCCTACATTTCTGGTTCTCTCCAGAAGAGGGCCCTTTAAAGCCTTTTTACAAAATGTACTGCTGCATTGCATAGAGTTTGATTCTTCTTTACTGCAAAGGAAGAAATTGTTTTATACACACACAAAAAAACAAACAAAAAAACATGTGATTCATTTCATCAACTGACACATTTCAAGTGGAAATATCCTTTTGGATGGTTCTTGTTTTAATAAGACCCCTGGTTAGTTCGAAGTGCATTTTTAAAATACAAATTAAAACAAACTCAGATATAAAATTGATTCATGGAGAAAATTCACCTGCTAAAGGGTCTTTTTTTTCCCTTCTCTGAGTAATTTGAAAAATGATGTTCTCCATTTGTCAGAGCCTGCGGAGCAGAAGAGCTAAAGCACACCCACCGTGCAGAGGATCATTGACATTCAGGAGCTGTAGCCATGTGCCCCACTTTCAAGATAAACCACTGACATGTTAAATGAGTTAGACGTTAAAGTAATGTTTCTCCGTTGTCGCACAGTAAAAAGACATGCTGACTCACATACAGGGAGATTTTAGAGACTGGTGTCTGTATGCAAACCCCTTCCTTGTCCTTTACGAGAGTCTGGGCCATCTATCTAACTTGGCTAAGTAGGTAAATGTGATTGAATATTGATCCGAGCATAGAGGGTTAGTTTCCATCCATTGCTTTACGGAACATGAGAAAAGAAGTCCTTGAGAAGAACCGTCTGTTATTCTGAGGACTACTATTTACTCTGTAATCTAAAAAAAATGGCCTAAGACACACTTTGCATACTCAATTACATTTTTAGATTGGAAGAGCACCATTTATTGAAAAGAGCAAACTATGACACCGGCCTATTAATCTATTAATACCTCTTAAATATTTCTTGGATTATTTTGTGGGGATTTCATGTGATCAGCCAACACAGAAAACATTATTAATAAAATTTAAAAAGTGTCGCATATATTTATATGCAGCGCCACTTAGTCACTTCTTAGTAGAACAATCATATGTAGTAAGTGTCTTGTCTTCATGTGTATTGTTAATTGATTGCTAAATAGAGCGTTAATAGAGGTGAAATGCAAATACTGTTATGTTTATTTTGCTTCAGCCATGACTTTTCTACTTTTCTTTCCTCCTTAGTGCCCGGATTTTTTAAGTAAATAAAAAGTCATCTTGCTGATGGATTATCCCACTTAAGTTGTGGATCTAAGCAGCTCCGTCGGAGAAAACTTGGGGTCTCTTTGATGTCCCGTGTTTAGCTCAGCTCATCTCCTATTTAACTCCTATTATTTTTAATTAATTAATATTATTAATGAACAAATTTTTGGAGCAGAATAAGGAACAGAATTTGGGTTGAATTTGGAAGGAAGGAACAGAATTTGGGTTGCTTTTTGGAGCTCCAAATAGACAAAAGTAATAACATTATACAGCAAGTCTGATTGTATGTGTAGGATTGTTCTACTTTACTAAAAAATGCAATAAACAGCATGATGGTGCTGTTTCTGTGTTTTACAATGGACATGGTGTGGTCTAGGTGACGTGAAGGGTTGGTTTCTGCAAAATATTGTGTTCATTCTTAAAAGGCAGTCAAGCTTTGGTTTTCTCTAATGCAAGCACTTCAAAGGGTGAAAAAGGTATGTGTGCCATAAGGCTGAAAGAGAACTCAAATGTAAAACATGGTTTATCCAAAAATAATGCTCAATAATGAAAATAATAAATTAATATGAGTAGAAACTATGGGGTAAAAAAGAATAAAAGGAACAGGAAATATAACAGAAAATCTAAACATGACAAAGCATGAGAAGAAACCAATGAAGCTTAAGCGTAAATTCAATCTAGAAGACGCTTCACTGGAACCACCTGTGATGTGGCTCGTTCAGCTCAGGCCAATCACCTCGGGGGCCGCACCTTCTCCGAAGCCAATCATCTTTGAAGAACTCCTTCATTTAGCTACTGGCCCAGCTTCTCTCTCCTGCATGCAGGCAAACTTTCACCCACCTCCACCCCATCTCCTTCCTCATTCTCAGTCCCACTCATCCTCTGGTTTATTCCACCACCAGTGTCCGGGCCCTGGGGGAACTACTCTAATCCTTTTCTAGGTTACTCATCCAAGCGTATGTTGATTCACAACATCTAAGTCTTCTGTCGGGCCAAAGAACTTATTTCGTGTATGTCTTCATATGCTTCTGTCTCCTTGAACCCCAGTCAACCTTGGTAGATAGCCGCTCAAACTGAGCCTGGTTCTGCTGGAGGTTTCTTCCTGTTAAAAGGGAGTTTTCCTCTCCACTGTCGCTATATGTATGCTTGGTGTGAGGGATTGCCGAGTCAATGAGTCCTTGCAATGAGTTTGTTTTCCTTAGAAATATTATGAATATGATTGTGCTACCTGTATAAAACATATTTTCTAATTGTAACTTTTCTCTGTGTGAGTCTCTCTAGGTTGAAATGAGTAAACAATGGGAGGAACTAAAAGGGCAAACTAAAGAAAATTACCAACAAAGAAATAATAGAATAGAAAATCCATTTATTGTCCCACAGTGGGGAAATTGTGGTGTTAAAGCAGCAGAAGGTTATAGTAGAACTGGTCAAAACAGATAGATCTACAGAAGAACACTTAAGAATCATTAAACTATCACATGGAAAATGTTCCTACCTCTGGTATGGCTCTTTGCATTTCCTTTCGAGTCCTCCAGAGGTGTCAGAGGTAAACTGAGAAGGGTAGCTGACTTGCAATCCAAAAGTGGTGGGTTTTATTGTAGTTTCCTTAAGCCACATGTTGATGTGCACTTTACCTTTAAGCCGGGGTTGCCTCCCAGTCTGCTTAACGCTGTATGATGGTGAGTTTAAGTAAAAATACATTCAGTAGTGTAGCACTGTTTCCCTGGTCAGTATGACTAAACCCTTAATACTGTCTGTTTGCGACATTTTCTTACAATTTAGGTGGAGCTTTTGCTTTTTTTGGAGCAAATATGGAAAATACTTAATATAATGCTTCTCATTAAACATATGGGTTCATCATATTTATTCATTTCTAAAAGCAAATAGCTACTTTTTGGAGTTGCTTTAAAGCAAATCCAACCAAAATTCAGGGAAGTTTGTGTTAAAGTCTGACCAAACTGGAAAAAGTGACAAAGGATGTAAAGGCCAGGAAGAACCTGTGCTCACTATAACACATGCTCATGTTTTTTCATGAAAACATTTCAAAAATCACTTAAAGAAACAACAGAGAACAAAGCACTTTTAGACTTTTATTCCTCTCTTTAGAAACAACATTTTTGTTTTCACTCGCTTTCAAAAATAACAAGCATAAATCCTCCTGCTCTAAGCCAAGTCTGGAGCCTCTCAGCAAACAGCAGAGGCCTCAAGTCAGAGTCATTCAGTCCTTACTTACGCACACATGCACACGCGCTGCTGTCACCCAGCAAAAGGCATCTGCTCGAGGATTATGGCGGCACTGTGGAGATAATATTATATCATAGCAACACCATGGCAATGCTGCCTACAGCGGAAACAAACATAAAAGCCAGGGCAGTACCACAGTGGAGTGTTGTTTCTTTTCATCTGCTATTGCTTCTCTACTGATGGTGTTTGGAATTTTTTTTGACATTTCAGCTTATCAATATGATAGGAAGACCCTGAAGAGCTGTGATGGCACAGGGAGCGCTGCAGAGAGTTTACAGTACAGGCTGTACGTGTGTTTGAAATGCAGATACACAGGCACAACCATGCACACACACTAGGTTTCAAACATGCTTCCCAGAAGCAGTGAAATGGTCTCATGTCTTAGACATTGTATAACATGAAAAAGAAAAAAACAACAACTATAATACCAAACACAGAAATACAATGACACCTTCGGATAGGATTAACACTGAAAGTGGGCGACTGAAAGAGGAAACCATCCGGGAATTTGTACAGGAAATATTCAAAGCATATTTATGGACCCTGGTGACTGCGTCCCCTTTGACGTGTTGCTGAATCAATGTGTGGTCCTTCTATATGAGACAAAATGGACTTTTTACAAGACGCTGCTGACCTGTAGCTGCATTTCGTTGCTTTTTTGAATTTGTTATATTTCTGTGTAATTATCTTTTTTTGATGGGTAAGTGCAAATGGAGGAACGGTAAAAGCTGGAGCTGTTTCTCATTTGTGTCGTTTGTGTAGAATTCACTAGTATAAAGTCCGATTATGGGGTAAAAAAATGGCTTTTGCAGCTAAATATAACAACAAATCTAAAACAACCAGTTGTTGTGATGTTTTACAGAGTCAGATAAATTTCAATATAATAAATAACAGTTATCTTAATATATGTGCTTCAATCTGTGACTGGAGAATCAATTCTTATGAAATGAAAATCTTAAAATAGGTTCTCCAATAACAGAGTTTAGAGTGAGATCTTATCATAGCTCAGTGTTTTGTTTAAGATATTACAATAGATGCTGAGGACTTGGAAGAACAAACCAAAACAATAAATAGAGAATTGATTTTCTATCTACAAGACATCATCCCATTAATAATGCGCATGGCTATAAGTACTTGCAAAATTATTTTTCTTTTCTAACGATTGAATATCTTGTTTCGCATTTAGAACTGGAAATAATAATCTTGAAACTGTGAATCAAAACAGATTAAAAAAAAATCTCATAATTTATTATATAAATTAAAGTATGTTAAAAAAAAATACCTCAAATGACAATAAAAAGTCTCTCCTTTTATGTGCCAACTCAGTATAATGTACAGTCTTGGTCAGAGATTTATGTTCACTCAGCATATACAGGAGTTTAATTTAGGGCTTTTAATGATTTATTTGATTTGCTCTTTGTCCAACAGGGGGCGTTTTTCTTTTATGTGCTTCATTGATAGTTCCTATAGTGTCAATGCGCAAGTCGCAATTTCTTGTTGATTTGCTACAACCAACACAGGGTCCAAATTATACATACAATCTCTAACATATATACTGATGTTTAAATAAATCGGGCAAATTGGTCAAGCTTTTTAAAGGGATTTATTTCCTAAAGCTAAATGTTAGCTTTGTCAATTAAAAAATATATTTTTTTATGTTTTTGGAACTTTTGGAAACGCCAGTTAACCATCCGAAAAAAATGACTCGTATAAGAATGGACTGGAGGGGTGTTAAAAGCACTCATTTATAGCTGCCCATTTGGACAAGGCTTCTAGATAAAAGTGCTATACTTAGATAAGAAAAGTTTCAAGCCTAAGAATCCTGGACCGACTGTTTAGCATGATGGTACCGGTATTGAGGGTTTGTGTTGTATTTGTCAGTGTTACTTATAAATTGCACAGAGTGGATAAAATAATAAAGTACTATCTTTCAAACCTCACCTCAATCTAACATCTGGATGGTAGCAATATGGCCATATATGGGTGTTGCAACAGAAAAATTATAATATATTCACCTATCCAGACTGGTTTTAGGTTAGATTAGGAGGTTAACATTAAATTTGTGGACTGGCACTGACCACTGTACAATAAAAAACAATTATAGACAAGGCGTAAAAGCAAGGATTAGACTATTTTTTCACTAGAGGACATTTCTGTTTGCCGAATTACGTAAGGAATTGGCACCCAGGCAGGGAAAATGTATTTATTTTATTCAGGGTGTGTGTGTGTGCGCTAGAACCACTATATATTGGACCTTGTTTTCAATACAGAAAATCCATAATAAATTCACACCAAATTCTTCCTTTCACAAATCATTCAAGATTGTTGTTTTATGATTAGTCTATTTAGAAATAAAAGACATATTAAATTAGGAATATAAAACTTTAAAAGCCCCAAATTGCTGGGAGTGTAGCTCTGACCAGAACTGTAGCTCAGCACCAAGAAAAGATTGCCTGAATGATTAAACTGGTTTTCAAGGTAAAGCATTATGTTTTCGACTCAGGACTCTGATCTGCTGGGAGGAACGAAGAGCGGATCCTCTGGGCTTCATTAACACACAAATGGCCAAACGCTTTGTTGTACCACTCCGGAGATCTTCCCCTACAACAATAGAAACCACATTACACGTTAAATTTTGTGCATTTTGTCAAAACATAACCAAAGGGAAAGTCCGTCAGCACCTGAGATCAACTCTGGTGATGTGTGTTAGCCTGGTCTTCCCCATCCCACATGGCTCAAGGAGGTATTGTGACTCCAACACAACCCCCCTCACAGCTCCAACACACGGGCTGTCGTCATGCTCGACCGACACGCACACCAGCGCGCAGGATTCTTTACAAAGGTCTGTACGCCACGATCTGAGTGGTGAAAAACAATACACTAGGTTAGATCTTTACTGTAGGGAGAGCAAACATCAAATTGAAGCTTTTACACACCCTTAAACAAATTTAAAATCTTGAAACTACCAGAAAGTCCCGTAAAGTTATAATATAATATTAGCCTTAGAAGCTTTTGTCATATTGTCCTGCTGCTTAACTCGTGTGTGACTAAGCTTAAAGCTGGAAACAGATGGAGAGACATCGTCTTTCAGGATTTACTAATAGAGAACATAATTAATGTTTTCATCAAATAGACTAGACTTAGTCTGGAAGTGGCAAAGCAGTCCAAGACCATTAGATTATCACCATTTTTGTTCTATCATTTTATTTTCTTGAAAATTGTTTTTTCTTCTTCTATGGCTCATTGTTTCTACGGCATTTTTGTATGTTTGCTTCTGTCTCCTTGAACTCCATTCGTCCTCTGCAGATGGCCGCTCACACTTAGCCTGGTTGTGCCCGAGCTTTCTTCCTGTTAAAGGAATAGTACACCCAAAACATGATTAGCCTTCATTTTCTACTCACCCCCATGCTGAACAACACTCTGGAGTACTTTTTTGATATCTCAAATGCATCTGGAGATCTGGGAGGCTTCTTGCTGTCTGCTGACATTCTAATAATGGAGGTCTATTGTGCCCGAGACAGAAAGGTTCATAAAAGTCCACAAAAACATGTCAATATTCCTCCATACTGCTCGTCCAATGTATTCCAAGTGTCCTGAGTGGGTAGCATCCAGAATTTACTTGAAACGAAGTCATTTAGAATGTTTTTAGAGCATAAACAGTAGTGTATAGGATTTCCTGAAAGCGCGCACATGCGCGTTCACGAAGATACGGAAGCCGGCAGACCAAACCAGCGCATTCAGCTCGGCAAAGAACTCATGCTCTTCCTCAACACTGAAGTCCTCAGACATTTTTCTTTCGTTGTTTCTTTCTTTGCACAGGTAAACAGCACATTTCTTCTTCTACGCTTGCATTATTGGCAGAGCAGACGCTGAATGCGCACTTTCATCTGGTTTGGTCTGCCGGCTTCCGTAGCGTCGGGATCGCGCAGGTGCGCACTTTCAGGAAATCCTATACACTACTGTTTATGCTCTAAAAACATTCTAAAGGACTTCGTTTCGAGTAAATTCTGAATGCTACCCACTCAGGAGACTTGGAATACATTGGACGAGCAGTATGGAGGAATATTGACACGTTTTTTGTGGACTTTTATGGACCTTTCTGTCTCGGGCACCATGGACCTCCATTATTTGAATGTCAGCAGACAGCAAGAAGCCTCCCAGATCTCCAGATGCATTTGAGATATCAAAAAAGTACTCCAGAGTGTTGTTCAGCATGGGGGTGAGTAGAAAATGAAGGCTAATCATGTTTTGGGTGTACTATTCCTTTAAGAAGGAGTTTTTCCTCTCCACCGTCACTACATGCATGCTTGGTGTGAAGGGCTGTTGTTGAGTGAATGACAAAATGAAAGAAAATAACTACTGCAGCCAAATGCTCATCCATTAGGATAGAATCCTGCAAAGTCAATGACTCAATGCAATCAGCCGGGTTTCCTTTGATACAACACTAAACAAATCTGACTGTATGATCTGATTAAAATGTCTGTAAAGTGCCTTGATGCAGTTGTGTTGTAAATTGATGCTACATAAATTAACTGAACTGAATTGAACAGCAAAGCTCATCTTCCAAATGTTTACTTTTATCATATCAGTCTAAAGAAAAATTACCTCCAAATGTTGTGACAATGAATTTAATAATACTAAAGTTCATAAATTTCTTAATCCAGTCTAAATTTTGTGTCCACACACACACACACACGCATTCTGTTCTCCCTCAGTTTTGTTCTTTTTAAGTATGCTGTATTGTGTCAAAAAAGTTTGTCAAGTCACAGTAAATTTTAATTAAATAAATGTTAATTTTAAGTTGATTCTGACTAAAGGGTTTAGGCCTGATAGGTTTTTCTAAACTTCTTCCAAAAGTCCTTTTCAAACTATAAGGTTTTCTATTTTTTTATTTCTATTTTTTTATTTTAGTTCAAAATAAAGAAAAAGATCTAAATATACGTATGGTCCACAAATGCAAATCATTTTTACAGTCTTCTCCATGCAGTTATTAATCCTACCTCAGTACCACGTAGTCACAGCTGGGCTGAGGTGCCATATTGCAGCAGGAGTAATGATACACATCTGTCTGTTTGTCCAGTGTCTCCAGAACCTTCTCCTGCTGGAGCTCCGTTTGCCACAGTGAACGCTCCTTCAGGAGGCGCTGCAGCACCTCGTGGGGAGATGCTGAAACCTCCAGACAAACTCGCCACCGCCTCAGAGGGTTCCCATCGCCAACCTTAAACATCAATATTAAATATGCAAAGTAGAATTAAAATATAAGGTCTGTGGGTTTCTGCTTTCGCTTTCTTGATTTAAGTTAACATTTTCTGCTTTGGTTGTACTGACGATTAATGCTTTAGACATGTAATGACGTTGGATTCTTTTTAAAGATCCTAATAATCCCTTCCTCCTGCTGCCCGTCTCCTAATCCCACCATATTTGATTTGAGTGACCTCCCACCTTTTTAAATGCCAGCTCCGTATTGTCAGACGACGAGCGGGACACCCAGCCTTTGCTCTTATCCTTGGCCTCTTTTAGCAGGTTCTGGATCAGCCTTTCTATATGTGCATTATAGGATGCTTCCTCATCCTCCTCCTCTTCCTCCACCTCCTCATCTACATCTTCCTCCTCCTGGACCTTGCACAGCTCCTCCAGAGGAGGAACCATTAGAGCAGCTTCCATGTAGGAGTTGCGAGACTGGGTCACCATTTCCTCTGGGATCTGAGCAACAATCAGGAGAAGGTTTGTCACAAGAAATGAGCTCAGACAGGAGTAGCTATCATATTTAACAGAGCCAACATTGTGTGAAGAACAGCAGTAAGAAAAGGTAACAGTTTGAAGAGTAATGGAGGCACCAGCTTGTAGCAGTGATGGAAGATATTCTATGATTTCAGACAGACTATATTTTATTCAATATGTTTTAAATGCTTCAATGCTGTTATTCCCATAAAAAAAATTATAATTTATACTGAGAAACTGCATTTTTCTACAAATAAGAGTTTAAATCATTATTTTTTTTACATTAATCCAAAGTTATTTGAGGATAGTCTAAGTCTAAGTGGTTGTGGGAATGTGTTTATTCTAGAAAATTTATTCTTGCTTTATTAGACTTAAAGGAATTTAATATGCTCACAAAGATTGAGAATTAATCTATAAATGTAGTTTAGTTCAAGCGTTAAAAGAAATATTGGTGAGTTTGATGCAAACCTGAAAGAGGTGTTGGCACTCTGAGATCATGTGTGCCAGGCCTTGGCTGGCGGCGAGGTTCTCACTCAGGTCTTTCTGATCAGGACGGCCTGTAGCGTACTTCCTCTGGATTGACCTAAAGAAAACCAGAACCACAGAGGACATGCTGAGTCACCAGCTGGGTTCCTGTTTCCAGGGAGGAAGGGCGGGTTGAGTTCACGCACACCTTGGTGAAAGCGTCTCGTTCTTCAGTATGCTGAGGTGGAACAGTGAGGGCCCCAGACAAACAGCCAGGTTCATCGGCGTCATTTGGTTCTCTTCTACCAAGGAGGCAACGTCACGCAGGAAGTAGAGCAATGTCTGCAGAACCTCCCTGTTCTCATCGGGCATCAACAAAATGGCTGCCCTGACGGCCTGCAACCGCTGTTCTTTTGGAACATCTAGTCAAAAAAAAAAATAAATACAACAATAAGATTCTACAGAAAAGTCCTTAAAACAGTGGGCAGCAATAACCTGCATTTTAGAGCAATGATGTTCCTCTTACTGATCCAACTTTGGATTGTTAGGAAATGGGACTAAAAAGTTTTAAAATGCATGAAAAAAATAGTATAAATATAAGTTTTTTTTACAGAACAGAATATGTATTTTATACATGTATGAGGTGAGGAAAGAAAATCCCCCATTTCTATTTATTTTGCCAGTAGGACAGCTCTTTAATAGCATCTTTACAGGATCTCTCTACCCTGTCCAGGTTTTCTGGTTTCCTGGCGGCCAGATTTTTATCTAAAATATCCTGTCATCTCAGAGATGTCAAGATTTAGTACACTCTGACTACACTCCTTCTGTTTCTAGAAGAGAAACATTCCAGCAATGTAAAAGTCCTCCAGTTGGAAGAGACATGTTTAATAGGCATTCCCTCTCGGGAGCGGGTACAGGGTTGTGTATGTGCATTTTATTTTTGAAAAATGGAGAGGGCGGGTCTTTCAAAAAATTTGCAAAAAACCTTCACCATACTTTTAAGAAAAAGTAAAAAGTACAGTCCTATAAACGTACTATATAAAAATATTTTTTTTTCAAAATGTTACTCAAGCAAATGTAACTATTTACTACACTGCTAACGATTTTAATAAAACAACATTTCTCAACATAAACTGATTTTAATTTTTTTGTGATGTTGGATTGCTTTTAGCAGGGGCCAATAAAGCATATTGTATATACAGTAATCTGTCATTTTGAGAGTAATAAATAGTGAATGAAAAAACATTTCCTTTTCTTGTAAACCTAAGAATACAAAAAGGTTTATAAAAGAGAAAAAAGTATTTAGCTTAACTTTCATTGGGGCAACTTACACTGATAAATATGAAGAAATGTTTCCCCCAGTTTGCTTGTGAGCAGAGGTTCAGGTAAGTCCCTGAAGAACTGTTTGACCATGTCGGCCACATCGTACGCAGATTGGTCCTCGTAGTTCACACAGTCAGGGGACAACTCACACTGCTGCCTCAAAGCCTGAATCCGGGACTTGACACCAGACTTCCGGAATAATCCCACCTGGAAGGGAGAAAGCAGGAGAGAGTCCGGCCGGATCAGAGGGGGAACGGCGCCTCATGTCTGTCAGCTTAAGTAAGCAGAGAATAAGAAGCATACAACCAGTCCAGTAAAAGTTGTTTACTAACCTGGTCCAGACAGTAAGTCCTGAGGTGGCTGAGGGCCTGCTGTAAACACATAGGAAGTGGAAACCCACAGCGCTGGACATGAACAATGAGAGGAACACCAAACACACTCTTCTCTTTGTAGTCTGGCACCTTCATACGCTTCATAAACTTCGGTACGGACCTGCCAGCGACAGACAGAAAACAATTAGGGAAGTGTGTGGGAAGACAGCCTTCTATGCTTTCATTATCATCCTATGCATGTACACTCTGGTCAACAGGACTTCCCTGTAGGGCACTATAAAAATTAACAGGACTGGCTGTTAACGACACAGGGATGCGTTTGTGTTTGTGAGTCGTGAGGAATGGTGGGCTCTGTCCCTGACAAACGCTTGCACATGGACAAACTCATTGATGTTAAGTCATGTTTTCAAGTTGAAGGTGTTAATTGTCTGTATGGTCCAGCAGCTTAGGCTGTACTGTGGGGTTGAAGAGCACAGTAAAAATACCTAGTAAAGCACGGAAGGAACATACGGTACAGTGCCCAAGAAAAGTATTTACACACCTTTAACTTTTTCTCTCTCTCTTAGATTAAAACCACGTTTCCATTTATTTTTTGGGGCTTTTTACATGATATAGGAACATATAGCAGAGCATAATTGTACAGTAGTGTACAGTTTTTTTATTTCTTACAAATAAAGGCTTAAAATTGTGGAGTCCATTTATATTCTAAGCACCTGTCTCCATATTTCCTCTTTAAAGATAACTAAAGCCGGGTATACGCTGTAAAAGTTTTTGCCCTTTTCAGGCAGATTTTCCAGGTGTGCAAGAATTCTTTGGATCGGACAGAGTTTCAGCCTCCTCATGCGTCCTCCATCGTGTAATATTCAGGGGTAATGAGGGCGATCAGCCTCTTGCGATCACCTCCCGATCAGGAATCATAAGGTTGGGAGAAAATCACACGTTTGACATTCAGTCAGCCCTTGTAATGTGTCTGTGGGTAAATCCTGCTGTTGAAGCAGAGCTGCGAGCCGATTTCCCAAAACTTGAGCACTGCACATGTGCAAACTGAGTTGTTCGTCTTCTTCTTCTTCCAGATTGACAAGTCCAACCAGTGCTATCTTTCAGCACTCACCCCAACCTGTAGTTTTTGGACGTGCCGTGTGAACAGTTAGATCGCATCAGAGCGTTGGGCAGTACAGTGTTAGAACATACATCATGAGCTGTAAACCTTTAAACCCTGCGGTTTCACCATAAAGTTTGAGCTGTAGCTGAGTGCAATGATGGAAAATATCGTACGGTGTTTGCCCGGCTTAACATGACCAACAAAAGGTTGGAATACTTTTGGCTGTTTTATTATCTTAGACTTAAGAAAAGAAGGAAGCAGACCCAGATTAATTTTGCTGTGGGCTGTTGAGCGACTGGCTACTAAAGTACTACTCAAGTGTCAAGTCTTTTGCAGCTTCAAAAATGTTTTTACTTTTCTTTAAAAACTCTAAATTTGGTACCATTTCTCTCACCTCTAACTCTGATCAGCTTAAATGTTTCTACCTAAAAAAAGAAAATTCCCAGAGCATGATGCCGTCACCACCGGGTATTAGAGTGGAAGTGGTGTTTAGGGTCACGATGTTTTAGATTTTATCCAAGCAATGCGACCAGATCCCTGTCGTCTGTATATTTACAAGTCCTCTTCCCTGTGTTCCCTTTGCATGACTCCTTATGAGTTCCTTTTTACAGTATCTTTACTCTTGTCTTTTTTTCTCGTATCTGACTAGCAAATTACTGCAATTCCTCCTGACTTCAATTTAAATCTTCTTTGATAAAAGTAATCCTTTATCCCAAACCAATCTGCTGTGCTCTTAATTCTTAATTAATCTTTGTTTACCAATTATCTCACACAGAGATGTGTACCTGAGTTTACATTATATTTTTGTAATCTGCAACGCTACAGACAAATGATTTTTTTATGCAATCCGGTTGTATTTATACATACCAGGTCCAGCCATGTTTGTTGGACATGGAGTATTTCTCCATGATGGCGGTGAGGCGGAGCAGAGAAAACTTCTGGAGCAGGCTCAGCTGGCCCGCTGACTGGCTGCTGATCTGCAGCGATGATGCCGGCTGGTTGAGATGATCAGACGTTCTGAAACTGGGCCAACGCAGACTGGGATGGATTAGAGTATAAAGATAATTTGACTCAGACAGCACAATCATTTGGGTCTAAATATCATTTTAATTTCATTGTGGATTACAGGCATACAGTATTTGTGCTGGTATTTTAAACCATTCATTTTTAGTAAATAGTAAAACTTAAACGGACAGGATTCCCTCTAGAAAATGGAATGTCAATTTTATTAACGTGTTATTTAAGCACATGTCCTCAATTGCAGACAAAGCATTTTATTAGTGTCTTTTAAGCTGCAATAAAAATACATCTTCACAATATAAGAATAAAATATAATGTATCAAAGCTTTTATTTTCCAAAGTGTAAATTAATCATAAAAATGTTAGGTGTCATTCTGCCAACAGCAGATAATGGATGTTAAACTACACTGCATTCCTGCTATTTTCTACAGCTGAAAATGTCAAAGCTTGTAATTTAATAGGGGTGAGTATTGGCATGGGTGTTACGATGTCACAATACTCCTGTCACAATACAATGTTATCACGATATTGCAATATATAGGGATTTTTTTCCCAGCTAACAAAATTAAATGTATAAATAAAAAAGCAAGTGCTGTAAATGTTCATCAGAATTAATGTTTCTGGTTTGACTCCGACCACGTCTTACTTTTTGTTTTTTTACTATGACTGCCTTAGCAACAGAAATGGCGCTGAACAGCAAAAGGGCTCCACAGCACTATCTACCAGAGTGGCGGTGCAGACGTCTATTTTTCCTCATTGTTTAAGGTAAAAATCTTTTTTTCTTTTAAATCGATATATTAGGAATTGAACGATAAATATATAATATTAATCATATCGATATTAAAAAACACACTCATATGTTTCAAAACTGCAATAAAGATCTTAAAAGAACAACGTATTTGAGTATTTTATTTTTTACACTACGACTTGGAATTATGGGTAACCCAGAGCGTTGATTAACCCTAACCGTTACATACAATGTGTTAGCGACGATGGATACCAAAATGAGATACTTAAGCAGATTCCAGAAAAGAAAAAGCAAAGAAGAGCTGCTGGAAGAACTGAAAAAAACTTCCCAAAATAAACACGTTCTTTCAAAGAACCGAAGAGTGAGTAAAGATAGCGACCAGGAGATGAATGAAGATAGCGTGGGTGAGGAGGGGGCTGTTCAGGGAGTCTCCTTGATATAGGTAGTTGTTCACAGATGCCCGCGAGTCGGAGAAATTCTCACGAATTTTCGACTATGCGAGGTGGTGTTTTTTTTAATGCGAGTAAAAGCGTGCAGCATTACAAAAATTTGTGCATCATGTGCGGATTAGAACTACTTTGATTGCACAGGCACAACAAGAGAGAGAGGGGTGTGTGTATGTATGGGGCACGATTTGGGTCAGTTGTGTACGACTGGAAATTGATAATTGTATCTTCTTGGCTGATTTATGGAACTGTTGCTGTATCCTGAATCTTTATCACGTGCTTTACTTCATATAACGCCCACCCAGATAATGTTGCTTATGGGCCTATTGTTGTGTTGTTATGCCATTGAACACTACATCACCTTCTTTCAACCTTACTAGTGTTACTACTTCTGCTCTACTTCAAGATAACCTTCTCTACTGGTACTACTATTGCTCCTCACCTCTGGAACTCCTTTCCATTCATAATAATAATCTGTCTTTCTTTCCACTTTCAGATCTCACCTATAAAACATGTTTGTTTTTCTCCAGGTCTGGTTTCTTGCATGTTTTCGTGTTGTTTTATAATTATCTAACTTTTGTATGTATATCTTTGGCGACTGTACTATTACTACATTACAACATGTCTAAATGGATTAAAAAATAAACACTGGCTTATTTTTTAACCCTTAGTGCGAGCGGTTATTGTATTTTAAATGTTTAAAAATAACATTCCGGATTATTTACCTGAATAACGGGGTAATATCTCTCATGTTCATTACATTTTACCCTTATATGGAGTTATTATGCCCCTTATGTCGGTAGGATTAGAAAATGTCAGAAGAGCTTCAGTGGATCGACGGCAATCAATATAAGTTTAGACTGAAACTTGAAAAATAAGACCTCAGTTATAAGAAATACTTCTAATATCTGTTCAGCTGCTTACCGAGGTCTTGTAAGTGATGCACCGACTCCAGAGTCCCGCCTCTCCCGACTGGTCCCCGTTGAATCTGTGTCATTTAAAGAGACCCCATCCCTCTCGCCTTCACTGGGGGTGGTCCTGCCCTCCCCTTCCTCCTCCCCTGCGTCCCCCTCAGGCAGCACACTGCGGCTCCAGTGGTCCACGATCTGCTGCAGGCCACTGACGTGCTGGAGGATGTCGTCCAGGTGAGGAAAGAGGTTGTCCTCCTTCTCAAAGTCCAGGAGGTCCCCGGTGCTGGCATAAAGGTGGGAGCCTGGCACGTTGTCATAAACGCTAACCCTGCTGCCCCTTGGAGCTCCAGGACAGGCAGGTTTAGATAAGGACTCACGCAGGCCGTTCTCAGTCGGGGAGGCTTGGCTATGTGACTGGGGGTTATTGTTCCTGTCGCTCGGGGAGGGTGTTAAACTTTCAATAGACAGAGCTTTGGGGAAAGTGCCTGGCTTGTGATCTTTGGGGATGTGAATGAGGAGGTTTTCATATGAGTGAAACTGGTTTCTGCCAAACTGGCTTTGACCTTCAGTCCTCTTACCCTGAGAAGGTAACTCCATATCCTCCAGGTACATGCTGCTTCTCTTGTTGGAGACTCGTGGCTTTGAACACGCAGGCTCCTGAACATTGAGCACCATAGCTTCTTCGCTTGGACTAACATTCACTGGGATCTGGCTTTCCAATGTTTTGCTATCAGAAACCTCATCTGTTTGGTAGTTGTGTTTTGGGCTGTGTTCTAATTGGCTGATGGGGGTGCAATGAAGCATCTGAAGTGCATGAGGCTCCTCCCCCTGTAACACCGGCTCACTGATGACCAGCGGCGGCCTCCGATTTGAGCTTTTCCTCCTTGTCGACGGCCCCCAGGTTCGCATCACCTCCATTTTGCGAAGGAACTCTTTAGCTTTACTCCTCCCATGGCGGCTGCTTTTGATGGGCAGGGAGTTGTAGTGTGGGAATTCCCTCGGCGGTTGATAGGACGCAGACAGGGACGCCATGGAAATAGAGTCGGGCATGGCAGAGGCTGAGTCCTCGCTGTGGAGCGAGGAGACCTCAGTGATCTCCTGCTCACTCAGGTCCGTCAGTACGCTCTCGCTGCTCACTGTGCTGCGAAGACCCTCTCCTTGACCCGTTGGGCTGCTATCATTGGTGCTTTCCAAAAGGAAGTCCTGCAGGCGAGACCAGCGTCTGCTGCTCCACTCAAATGTCCACCTTTTACTGATGGCCAGAGGATCATCTTCATCAGAATCATCACTCTACAGAGAGAAAGAGGAAAAAGATCAAAATACACACATCTATATATATATATATATATATATATATATATATATATATATATATATATATATATATATATATATATATATATATATATATGTCAGTTGCAAAAATTTTACTATCAACTTATCATTACAAGTTTATAAAAATATATTTTGCTGTTTACTCTTATTGAAAGCAAACAAATGCAACTTCGGAAATTTTGTGGAAGCTGACCAAACCCACTTCCTTTCAACACTGATACTAAAAATAAAACTTAACTGCAAGGTCATTTCATGTGTTGTTATAGATTACAACAGAAGTGAACACAAAGCTGTTATTTGGCCCCAATTTTTAATATTACCAGATTACAGCTTGTGTCACACAAAAAAATATGAAGTTGAAAAAAGTGTGGGAATAAAGACAGTGATACGTGGGTCAGTTTATGTCTGGGTCAAGCATAAAAAACTTGATAACAGATTCCTAACTTGTCATTTTTTCTTAAAGTTGAAAGGAAACGTTAATCTACGCAGTACAAACATTTTTCTTAGCAGAATAGATCAGGCTCAGCCTCTCTGGATGAACAATTCCCAGAACATAAAGCTTTTGAAGCCTCGACATATATTGTTAATTTCTTGTCACTTCATAATTACAGGCAAGTTTCTATTATTCTAGCAAGTAAAATTCAAAAGAAAATAGCATTTCGAGGTTTTTTGAAGCATAAAAAAAAGAAATAGAGTAAATATTGTAAATGCATTGGCACCCAAAAGTTTAAAGATGGTGTTTCTTTCTATTATAACTGCCATAAAAAGACATAAAGCTAACGGCAGCTTACAAATCAGTCTGTCTGTAAATGACACCATGCTCTTAGGTGTGTCTGTCAGAATTTCCTTACCACAGTGCATCGAGAAGAATAAGAGGAACTGAAAAGGACTAACAGGGCATGAATATAAATGTATACTTAAGAATCAGCAGCTGACTAAGAATCAAAGGAATAATACTTGTAGCTATAATTGGGAGAAACAGAAGTACCCCCAATCAGACTAGCAGTGGTTATCTCCTCTTGAAATTATGCTTTTGCAATCGAGCTGCGAAAGAAGCCGCATTTCGGTTTAGAAATTAGGAGAAGTGGAGCCTCTGTAACGTCTTAGACAGGATGAAGAGAACGCTCTCTGAGCTCAAATCAGAAATTAGCAATTCCTACTCTCTCTTGCTAATCAATTAATAATTTTCTTCAAAAAAGTTTTATATTTAGATTGTTTTAGACACATTGGAAAAATTAGAATACAAAAAAACTTTGTGAAAGTGAAACATCATATTGATTAATTTTACACTGGCCGATGTTTGTAAGCCTTGATATGTCCGTTGATATGTTTACGTAAGGCCGTCCTACGTGGTCGTCCCCATTTTTACTTACCAGGGGTGAACCTGACATAGTGTAAAAATTGCAAATCATCTTTTGGAACATAAAGTTGTATGAGCGATGCAAAGAGCAGCTTTTAAATAGGTGCTCCCTCTCTTG